CTGTGTCGGGTCTCTCAGGCCGCTCAGCAGCCCACTGCGGGCGGGGGGACCGGAGGTCAGCGGGGAGCGGGAGCTAGCGCAGGTCACTGCCGGGAGTTTGCGGGGAGGAGGAGGGGCGCGAGCGGCCGCCCCACGCAGCCCTGCGCCCGGCATCCAGCACCCAGCGCCCCCGCATTCGCTGGCCCCCTGGCCCCTCGGTCCCGCTTCATCCGGCGTCTCCCCGGGTCGCCCGCGCGCGTTGACGTCGGTCGCGGGGCCGCCCGGAGCTCCCGGCATTGGCTGGGGGGTCGATTGTCTCCGGCGATTGCTGTTACACTCAGGCTGGGTCTCTGAGCCCGGGAGGAAGCAGGCGTGTGTTGGATTTCTCTTTGACCCTCACGGTGGAATAAACAGGAAACGAGGAGCACCCAGCTTGGCCCGGCACTTGCCTTTGTTGTGGGGTCTGCCCTGGACAGCCGCGAGGAGGCTTCCTCGGGACCCCCTGCCCTGTGCGCCGCCGGGGTTGGGGCTGGGGGCGCGCCCTGTGAGTATACGCTGGTGGAAGACAGTGGGCTCTTTAGGTTAATTCGCTGTGGTGAGACTGAGGGCATTTGCTTGTTTTTAAACTTTTTTTCTTTTTCATTGAAAAAAGAGGAGGCTTTCCGACCAGGCAGAGGTTTTTCAGGGCGACGGGGACGCGTGGTGGGTGGGCAGCACCTGGAGAAGGTGCATCCGTGAGCGCCCGGGTTCCCGGGTTACCTGGCGGGGAGCCACGTTGGCTAGACCGCGAGAAACTCCTTAAAGCGAGTGAGCTTCCTCGCTCCTAAGCAGGCATAGGAAGGATTGTTGAGTGGCAATGACCACACAAACTAGCGTAATTTCTGTTTTCCCCAAAGACACTTCTAATTAACTAGAATTGGATCATTTTGATTTGCTTCCATGTCCCTCCGTGTCCCGTCTATTCCCTTCTCTTTTTCTATTCTTTCTAATCATTTTGGCCTCTCCCCGAGCTTGGACCCCTCCCTTAAGGTGGGGTTCGGTGCTGCTTTGTAAATGTTAATTAGGATGTGAGAAGTGTTATTGGTGACCCACTCTGCAGGCATTGTGCGCTGTGAGGTGAGAGTAGCTGTACGGAAGGCTGGTGGACTTGCAGTGGAGGTGGGGAGGGGTGGTCGGTAGTGCTGGCTCTGAGGACAGGGTCCTGTGGCTGGCAAGGAGGTTGGCCCCTCCCCTCAGGGCTGGTGCTGAGAAACGTCCCTTTAAAAATGGCTCATTCTGCCAGTTTGGCTACCTTGTCTCTGGAGGTTCACGACTGAGTATTGAATTACAGGGAAGGTTCTGTAAAGTCTGCAGGGAGAAACTGCCATAGCATCAAGCCATGCCTTTCCTTTTGTATATGAGCATTTAGAACTAATTGAGTCTACGGGCATCTGTAAATCCCCCTTTGTACTCTGCACAATTCTCTTGGAATACAGTCTTTGTATACAGTAAAGGATCATAGTGTCAAAATTGAGTCAGTAGACAAATAAGTGGATCTGAATATTACCCATGTATAATACATTTATTGAATTATAATATTTGGTTTCCTATCCACCCTTAAAATGTCATTTGATGGCCCTTGCAAAGTGGAGCTTTTTAAAACATGGAGGTAAATTCCTCATGATCTTTGAAAGCTTAATTCTTTTAAGAGCTTCACTTTGCTATTGACATTGAGCACACTGTTAGGAATTAGGGCCGAGACTGTAAATGCCAGTAAGGGATTTGCTGTAATGGAATTGTAGCTACCTTCCTCCCTTGTTTTAAAAGACCTCTCTAATTTCTTAGCAGTCTGCTGTTACCCTTGGAACAGCCTGCTGCCGTTGGCCATGGTTCTAGTTCGTGTAGGTTTATATTTATGTTGGAGAAGACTTCCCAGCAGATTTTTAGGGCTGTCTCTTGAATCCTCTCAGGGGCTCGGTTTGCATGACCACAATACTGCAGTGGAACCCAGCCAGTGCCAGCTGCTTATTAAGGGGTTTTGTGCCAATTTGTTGGCACATCATTTGAGATCCAACAGTCCTTTTCCTACCCCCACCCCTGCCAGAGTATATACATACATAGACAAATATTTATTTCCCCCCAACTGCTAACAGTGTTCTAAGAATAGTTTTCTTGCCTGGCGCGCTGAGAGCAAGGACCCGTCTGCAGAGGTGTTTACAATTTGGGACTTGCTGTAGTCTTGGTTGACTTAGCAGCCTGGCAGAGCAGCCTTGTACTCATGGGGCGCTGTCTGTTTTTTATCTGGGCTGCTGGAGAGGTAACTGCCTAGCCTGGCTGGGGAGGGTGACTCTTTGCCTCCTGTGGCAGTTTCTGACTGGCTATCATATAGAGACTCCTGAGCTCTGAGTCCCTTAGCATTTGCCCAGCTTAAAGTCACCTTGTGGTGGTGGTGGTGGTGTGTGTCTGTGTGTGTCTGTGTGTGTGTGGGGGGGTATTGATTGCTCTGTGTGATCATGTAAGATCCAAACCACCTCAGTGCCTGGGGCAGGAATACAATCCTGGCAGTTGGAGACCGGTCAGATCTTTCTGGCAGCTCTTGCCTTTTTTTTTTTTTTTTCCCATCTTTCTTCTGAATTTAGGCTTACGGAGTTCTGTGATATATCTGTCCTATGGGGTAAGAGTTACTAGAGAATAAAGAAACTCAAGAAGCAGTAGCTGTGAAAGAAGAGCAAACCATTCTAACCTAGAAATATGTTTAGAAATCTTTAGCATAATCTATACAGGCTTATGGTTATTAAATAGGAGCAAAGTTGCCTCAGAGCCCTAACTTGCTCTTTTTTTGTTTTATGCTTCACTTCTGCTTCTTCCTCTCTCTCTCTCTCTCTCCCCCCCCCTCTGTTCCTTCCTTTTTATAGGTCTCAGAAAAATCTCCTGGAAGCCATTATTTTCTGATGTCAAGATGACTTTGTGCCGACATGGGCCGTGTTAGTCTAGAATTACATCTTGACCTATATTATGGGTGTGCATGAAAGGTGAATCTTAAGTTTTAAAATAGGAATGTAAAGGTTCTGCCTACTATTTGAAAATGAAAGGCACACATTTTATCTCTACTTTTTAGGGAGATACTTTTTTTATGGCAGTTTTTGGCTTCCTTGTTCTGCAACTAAAGGAAACCAATACGCACCTGTATTATTAGTTGCTACAGAAATATCGGGTTCAAATTTCCAATTAATATCGTTTCTTTCTTTAAAACAGGAGTATGTGAGAATAACGTCTGTGTTGTCACATATCCGTGTGATTTAAGTATGGATTGCGTTTCTTTGAATTTCCACTAAAAATGGTACTTTGGCCTTTTGAGCTGTTTTTGTGAGGACTTTTCTTTCCACCAAGCTTGTTTTCCAGATAGGCCTTGGAAATTACGAAGAACATAGCTATAATTTCTCCCTTGATTGGCAGCTGAGAGCTTTCCCGGACAAAAATAAGGCTGCACTGTGCCAAATGGTTGACTTTTCTAGAATAAAAACTCTAAAGGGTATGCAGAAAGTCCTCTGGTTAATATATTGGCATTCCCAGAACCCACTAAAACTCAGGCAGGCTGCCAGACTCCACTTAATGAGGATGCAGAATGTCTGGCTCAAATCCCCATGAGCAGAAGGGGGTGGGGGCTGGATGTCCACACCCTTTATTAATTTTTAATGACTGTACTTTTGTTTTGCAGGTTTTGCTCTGTACCCCCCTCACAACTGACCCCCACAATGTCACTTCCCCCTCCCCATTCATTTATTTACTCATTTACTTGGCATTGGAAAAATGTTGAGACTTTGAAGGTTAAGAGTCCTGCTGAGGGATCATTTCTGTTTGCATGGGTTCTTTTGTTGTTGGTTTTCTTTCTTTCTCTTCCTTTTTTTTTTTTTTTGGAAAAGGAAGAGAGAAAAGGAACAGAAAAGATGACAATTTTTAATTTTTTTAGGATGCTTTATTGTCTGCTGGAAAAAAGAGAAGCATTTACGAAACTTTAAGTTTGTCAGACAGTTTATATGACAGTGCAAGTTGGTGCTTGCCAAGCTCCAGACAGATTGTTAATGTTACATGACAGGGATAAATAAATTACCGCTGTCTGCAACACGCTTGCACTGCAAAGCACTCTGCAGCCCCAGGCCGGCTGGGCGCTGCTCATGGGGGGCCTGGTGTCTGTGCAGCTGCGAGGAGGGCTTCCGCCTGCCGCCTAGAAACGCTGTGACTTGGTTTGGAAATGAAAAGGGTGTGTCTCTCACTTTTATTTTTGGCTGTGCCGCAGGGCAGTAGAGTCCACGTAGCAACTCTGTGTCCTTTATTTTGCTGGGCTGCTCCACCCCTTTTACTGTCCCTCTCCCTCCTCCTCTCATCCACACCCACATTCTTCTTCCGCACCAGGGAGTATTGGCACCTAGATATCTTCCCAGGAGACCTAAACTTTGTTCTCAGCTGCTCAGAGCGCACCGTGTCTCAAAGCCAAGTCTCAAGCTGTTTACAGTTGTGTTCTTTCTGCAGGTGCAGACACGGAGAACAAATTGTCTGCGGGAGATAAGTGTGTGCTGCCCTGGGAAGGGGTGGGTGGCACTCCTTGGGTATAATGTACTTTCATCGCGGACAGTTTGGAGACCCAGCTGGCAGAGTGACAGGTGTAATGAACTTAATGGTACTGCGCTGGTTGTTAGTGGACACACTGCTCATATTACAAAGCCACCTCACATGTGGGGCCCCTGCCAAATGATTTGCTCCTCTCTTTGCAGACAGGACTTGGGCCCTAGAGTCCTTGGCTGATGTTAAGGTCAGGAATTGGGTGGGCGTGAGGAATAGGCCTGTGTCCTCATCTACACCGATCCTAGATAGCCTTACAGTTACTCTTCAAAGAAAACTGGAAGAGGAAAGAATCCGTCCACCCGCCCTGGCTAGCCATTCCTCCCCATCAGGTGTGGCGAGGACCCTCTGTGTAGGTGTGCGTGGACTTCCTGCCTCTAGGGTTACAACATGCCAGGCTTCCTGCCCTGCCTCCCGGTTCCTGTGTGCTGGCCGACCACTATTCTCCAGAAATGGGCTGGGCCCTCTGTGGCTCTTGGAGGCACAGCCAGGCATTGTTCTCATTGTCTGTGGCCCCAGGGGCCGGCAACCTGTGCACACAGTCAGGGCGGGAATTTCCATAGTATAATTTCACTGCTTCCGAAGGAAGGATCTGGAGAGACTGCTGTAGCAGCAAGCCAGGCTGCTTTCCGAAGGCCTCCCTGCCCTCTGCCTGGACTGCCTCCACCCCGGCACTTGTTGGATAATAGCAGCAGCAGTTCCAGACACTTGCATTGCATTTCCGCCATGCCTGGCTCCGTTCTTAGTGCTGTTTGAGCATTAACGACTTTAATCTTCGCAGCAGCCCTGTGACATAGATACAGCTGCCATTCCCATTTCACAGACTGGGCAAGAAGTCAAGAAGTTGCCCCAAATCACCTAACTTTTGAATAAAGGCTGTGACCAGCACAGGCAGTCTTGGCTCCAGGATCTGAGCTTGGACTCTGGGACCTCTTTTTTTTTTTT